TGGATTCCGTGGTTATTCTTGGGGGTCCATTCTCTGGGCACAACATTAGGAATTATGCAATTTGGGAGTCTTTTAGATAGACCCATTGAAGGGGTACCTCAATTGCGTCACTCTGCATCCCTGTTCAGCATGGAAGAAGCCAGAGCAGTCTGTGTCCCAACTCCTATTTGGCAATTTGGGTAACCTCTTCAGACGATGGTGTGATAATAATAGGAGGTAGGAATCAGCTAGGCAGTTAGGGTAAAATGTCCTTGGACCTCTGTACTGAATGTGTTAGGAAATTAGGAATAAATTAAGATGAATATTAAGAGTGACTTTGAAATGAAACTAGAAACTAGGAACTTCTTGGCTTCTCAGGCTCACTTATCACTTCACACAGAAACTATGTGAAACTGTGTGGAGCAGATGGGTGGACTTGAGAGTCGAAACTAAGTAGCTTGAACGCCTGTGTGTGATAGATAAGTAATCAATGGGAGAAGCCATATCTCAAGAAACAGCTGAAGTTACTGATGTAAGTCAGAAGGACTCCAGACAAAAAGAAACATACAAAAACTGGCAGCTTGAGGACTTCATCGATGCTTGGCTACACGAAATGCTGACTCTGTAAGCCTCATCCTGATGTATTGCCCAAGAGACTGAAATTCTGCTAAGGCCGGGCTGGAATTCTGTTTGAGACCAGATCGAGAACTCTGGCAGAATCTTGGTCTGCTCTAGGATTGGAGAGAGCTTGCCACGACTAGACATGAACAGAGCCTGTGAATTGACAGCTCCAGCCGGGAGAGTGCAGTGATCACAGCGGACGCTGAGTGACTCCACACAGAGTACTGGAAGGACTAACCTCTGGAAGGTATTGCCTTGAGACTTTGGGATTCTGAATTGCTAGAGGACCGGGTTTCCCCTTGAGTGTTTGTGTTGATGTGTATTTAACTGTGTGATAAATACATATTGCAACCAATCAGTCATTGGGAGAATCTCTTCTGTTCCGTATGCGCCTGTCCTAAGCTCTCCCGAGAAGCAGTGACACACTCTGGATGTCACACTCAGGACAGTTACTGTCAAGTAACTTCCCCACTCAGGACAACCTCTTAGCAACATACTCTGTTCTAAAGGCTAAAAAATGTCAAAAATATTTGGGAGCTCTTATCTAATCCCTAAAAGATTTCAGGGTTACCTCTTCAGAGGAGGGGAATATCAGAGTAGCAAAAAACCCTGTAAGTTTAACTGATCAAGACTATAAAATCCCTAGTCTGTCTGTTGGAGGACCCACCTGGTGATAGAACCACCCCTAGGAAGGCAGGTTCACCTTAAGTTATGCTAAATAGATGGATGGAATACCTGGTGTGCTAATGAGGTACTGATTTTTTCCTGCCTGGAATCCTGCTTTGTAATGCAGAACTCCACAGAACTTCTGCCCAGCCATGGTCATGTAAGGTCTGCCATTTGGATCCATTCTTCAACTCTTTTATGAATGAGACTAAGAACCCTCTAGGGGACCCTCTTCCCCGCCCACCCCCCATTTCAGTACAGGCCAAAACTATGGACATATGGTGTCTTACTTTAATTAAAAGACAAAATGACCTACAGTAACAGTATATGAAGGTGCTTTGCAGACAATAATAGACTGGCACCACTCTTTGAAATACTCGGGAAAAAAATTCACTTTGTACCCTTTGTATGTTCAGAACATAGTATTATCAGAAACCCTCAAAAAAAAAAAGTCTGCTGAGGTAATGCATCTTCAATCCCTGCATGCACATATCTCACACACCCACAAGATAAAAAAATTGAAATTGAAGGGGATTACTCTTAGCCTCCCCTACCCCCAGAAACATGCACAAGAATTCAACAGTAAAGCCAAGAGCTGTAGTTCGATCAACTTAATTCCTAAGTTTTGCCAATAATCTTTTTTATTTTAGATAACTGTAACTCTATGTGTGCAGGTGCTGTGGTCATGTTGTTTTGAGATGGGTATTAAGAGAATGCTTATGCTACTAGGTCAGAGGTCTTGCCTGGAGGCAATGGTCATCTCAATGCCAACCAGCTGGGGAAGAGCTTGTGTCCTCTGTAAAGTTGGAGCTAAGCAAGATGAGAACTGACTTACCTTTCTTTGTTTGTTTCTTTTTTGAGTCAGCCTCTTGCTATGTAGTCTAGGCTGGACTAGAATTATTCTGCCTCTACCCAAATACTGGAATTATAGGTATATGCCACCATGCCTAGCAGCTGGTATACTTTTTGACTTAGATCTTTCATATGTGTATCTGTGTGTGCAGATATATCGATGTGTGGAAGCCAGGGGTCAATGTCAGGTGTTTTCCTCTATTGCTCTCCACCTAACTGTGTGTGTGTGTGTGTGTGTGTGTGTGTGTGTGTGTGTGTGTGTGTGTATGTGTGTGTGTATGATGCGTGTATCTGTATGTGTGTGTGAGTGGGGATACATGAGTGCAGAGTGCATGTGTGGAGATCAGAGGACAACATTGGGTGCTAGTCCTTGCCTTCCATCTTGTCTGAGATATGATCCCTCATTGAACCTGGAGTTTGTCACTTTGGCTAAGCTGGCTGGCCACTGGTCCCTGGGCTCTGACCCTCTAGCCTTAGGGTTATAGTTATGTGCTGCTGTACTTGGATTTAATGTGGATGCACAGATCTGAATCCAGGTCCTCATGCTTGTGCAATAAGTAGTTTACCTACTGAGCCATCTCCCTAGGTCCCCTAGACTTAAATCTTTAAGGATGTTTCCTGCATGAGCATCTTTCCAAGGGAAGAATCCTTGAAGATATTAATGCCATATGGAGAGTCAGACTATGCCAGCAGACACAGACCGAAACAAATCTCTCCCTCAAGATACTATATTTTGCAAATAAAATTGGCATACAAGTTCTTAATAAAACTTGCTATCCAGTGCTATATTCCTTTCTCTTGGGTTATTTCCCAATGTTCAGTAAACAAATTCTGAACTTCCCAGCTGTTCTCCACTACGTGATGAAATGCTTAGGATGGCATTAGAGAGAAGTGGGACCCAACTGATGCATGAGCTGATGCATTCTTTCAGGCTGAATTTATGTTCATAAAAGGAGGGGCAGACAGTGATGACATTTAAGGAGGGCTCTCAGAAGACATGAACAGCTTGTCTAGTTAGTTAGTGTTCATTTCATAGTGCCTTGGTTCAGGGTGGGCAGTGGTTTGGGTTGGCTTCATAGCAAAGGAACCAGCAAAGATGACAGGTCTGAATGCAGAGCTAGGTAAAGATAGACTAACAAGACAGAAGATAGGCAAGAAGGCCAGCTAGCAAGGAGCAAGGCCTCTTAATGCAGACACTCATGACACCTTGTGCTTGTTAATTTTTTTTTCTTTTTGGTCTTTTTGAGACAGGGTCTCCTGGTATCTCCAGCTAACTTGGAACTCACTATGTAGATCATGATGCTGGACTCAAACTCAGAGATCTGCTTGCCTCTGCCTCCCAAGTGCTGGGATTAAAGGCATGGGCTACCATGCCTGGTCTGTGCTGGTTAATTCTTTAATGTCTGTAGGTATTGCCAATATGCCCAGATGACAAGCTCACTTTGACTGAGAAAGAATGAGTTAAAAACAGTGATGGTCGGCTGGAGAGATGGCTCAGAAGTTAAGAGCACTGGCTGTTTTTGCAGGACCTGGGTTTGGTTCCTAGTACCCACATGACAGTTAACAACCATCCATAACTCCAGTTCCACAGATATGACACCCTACTCTGACCTCTATGGGCACTGCATGCACAGGTACACTTACCTGCAGGCAAAACACTCATACACATAAAATAAAAATAAATAAAATAGGGCTAGAAAGATGGCTCAGCGGTTAAGAGTACTGGCTGTTCTTGCAGAAGACCCAGGTTCAAATCCCAGCACCCCCAAGGCAGCTAACAATGGTCCATAACTCCAGTTTCAGGATATCTAACGCCTTCTTCTGTCTTCTGCAGGCACTGCATGACACAGGTGCACTTGCATACACACAGGCATAATACTCATACACATAAAATAAAAATAAATATTTTCAAAAAATAGTGATGCTCACTGACAAGGAATTAGGTGGGTAAACTATGTAAAAATAAATATTAGCATATTCTGTAGCCATTAAAAACAATGAGCCAAAACAAAAATAAAATTTAAATCTAACAAATAAGAAACAAGGCAGATGTATTCATGCTTATATGAAAAACACACAGGTAATAGGAAAAAATGCAATGTAATTAATATGGATCATGTGCTGCTGTGTACACACACACACAGAGGCTATTCTTTTTTAAAATAAGGTCTCACTCTATAGCCCAGGCTGACCTGGAACTCACTATATACCCTAGGCTGGCCTTGGTATATCACCTGTGGTGATCCTCTTGCCATAGCATTCTTCATTCTTCTTTTTTTTCCCCTGAGACAGGGTCTTAGCCCTGGCTGGCCTGGAATTCACTATGTAAACCAGGCTGGCCTTGAGCTCACAGAGATCTGCCTACTCCTGCTTCCCAACTGCTGGGATTAAAGGTGTGTATCACTTCCCTCAACATTCTGAGTGCTGGGAATTTAGGCCAGAGCCACTATGGCCAGCCATTCATAATAAAAAAAACAAGCAGCACGGTTCCATACATACAAAGAATCCCTCTGGGAGTATACTAAATGTAGTGTTAGTGATGGCTGCTTTTAGATAAAAGTCCCTGGACACAAGGGAGATAGAGATTTACTTTTCACTCTGGACCAGTGATTCTTGAATGCAGGCAAAACTCTTTCCTGGGATGTGCCAAGTTTTGGAACATTTTTGGTTTTCACAGAGGGGGATGTACTATTGGCATTTAACAGGTAGAGGCCAGGATGCTATTTAGCAACCTACAATGCACGTGACAGTCCCTCATGGCAGACAATACCCAGCCCCAGATGTCAGCAATGCCAAAGTAGAGAAACACTGATCTATACTATTTGAATTTTTCTATGTTTAATATTTTCACAGTTATTCCAAATAGACCATGTGAAAGGTAATAGGAGGCTGAACTAAAAATAAAAGTGACATGAATCTGTACAAAGCATCCCCCATGTCTTCAGCTGGAGAAATGGCTCAGCAGTCAAGAACACTGTTCTTGAAGAAGATCTGGGTTCAAATCCCAGCACCCACATGGCAGCTAACAACTGTCCATAACTCCAGTTCCAGGGCATCTGATAGCCTCTTCTGTCTTTCGTGGGCATTGCACAACACAGGTGCATTTACCTACATACAGGCAATACACACATACACATAAAATAAATAAAATAAAATAAAATTCAATTTAAGAAAAGCATTCCCTATGTCTTAAAAGTGTGTAGGTCTCACTGGGTGTGGTGGTGCACGCCTTTAATCCCAGCCCTTGGGAAGCAGAATTAGGCGGATCTTTGAGAGTTCAAGGCCAGCCTGGTCTACATAGTGAGTTCCAGGACAGCTGGAGCTACAAGGAGACCCTGCCTCAAAAAGACCAAAAAAAAAAAAAGTGTGTAGGTCTCACCATCTCAAAGAGCACTGCAGCAGTCACCGCCATCCAGTGTAGCTTGATCTCAAAGGCTGCATTCAGAGAGAAGTTTCCATGGTAGTAACAGCTGCACCATTCCAGCCTGTCTGTACGGTTGTTCACATCAACATCCAGGGTCACAGTCCTCTGCTCTGGGACAGTGGCAGCTGCGTCAGCACATGGGGGGCATGGGGGGCACACACAGAGAGAGGGAACAGGAATGGGATAAGCAGAAGAAAAAACAATGAAGCATATAAGTATGAAACTGTGGAACTGCTTCACAGGTGCTAGAAATCACCTAGTCCAGGGGGCTGTAAACTTTAGGTTTTGTGGGACAAATGGTTTCTATCACAATTACAAAAATCTGTGAGAAGTTGTGCCATTGTAGTGCAAAAGCAGCACTTTATTATGGGCTTGGCTATGTTCCAATAAAACTTTACTTATAAAAACAGGTGGATCTTTAGAACAATTAAACTATTCTGTATGTTATTATGATGGTAGATATACCATCATACATTTATTCAAGCCCACAGAATGCACAATACCAAGAGTAAACCTTAATGTGAACATGGACTTTGGGTGGTGATAGTACATTAATGCAGGTTAATGGATCAGAACAAATTTCACTCTGGTGAGGGATGCTGACAGTGGAGGAGGCTGGAAGAGGCAGGGAAGGGAGTATATGGGAACTTTCTGCTCAATTCTGCTGAAGATCTAAAATTCCTCTAAAGTAATTGATTAAAGTCAGGGAAAGTGGCTTAAACCTACAATATTAGCATTTAAAAGGCAGAAGGACTGCAAGTTAGAGGCTACTCTGGGCCAAATATTTAGACCCTATCTCAAAAAACAAAAACCGGGGGTTAGAGATGGCTCAGTGGTTAAGAACACTGGCTGGCTGCTTTTTCAGAGGACCTGGGTTCGATTCCTAGCACCCATATGGCAACTAACAACTCTGTAACTGCAGTTCCAAGGGATCCAATGTTCTCTTCTGGCCTCCACAGGCTTTGCACAACACTTACATACATGCAAGTGAAACATTCATACAAATTAAAGCAAACAAACAAAAAAATGGCGGGCTAGAGAGATGGCTCAGCAGTTAAGGACACTTGCTGAGCAATCATGAGGACCAGAGTTTGGATCCTAGTCCCTACAGAACAAGCTGGGAGTCCAGCATACATCTGTAACCCTGGCTCTGAGGGAGGTGGAGACAGGAGGATTGCTGGGGCTTGCTGACTTCCAGTCTAGCTGAGAAAACATGAGACCCAAGGAGAGACCCTGACTTAATGGAATGAAGAGGCAGACAGTAATACAGGAGGGCACCTGATACCCTCTTATGGCCTTTATGTACATGTATACACACACACACACACGCACACACACACATGCAGACACACACACACACACACACACACACACAGAAAGAGAGAGAGAGAAATAAATGATTCCAAGGGTGGGAGAACTCAATTATAAAGCAAATGGTTGGGGCTGGAGATACAGTTCAGTGGTTTAGAACACTGGCTGTTCATGCAGAAGACCCAGGTTTGAATCCTAGTACCCATATAGCAGCTAACAACCATCTGTAACTCCAGTTCTAGGGGATCCAATGCCCTATTCTGACCTCTGCTGGCTTTGCACGACATACATGCGGCAATACTCACACATATAAAATTAAAAAAAGAAAACCAAAAACAAATGGTAAGCTAGATTCAGTCAGTTATGCTGTACCATGTCTCCTTAAACAAACCCACCACCCTCATTTACCCAGGGAAGGGGTTATCTTCACCAGGATCATTGAGTCAGGAGCTCAGCCAGTCCAAACTCAAGACCTTCTGATTTCAGATAAACAGACACAAGGAGAAACAGCCCAGACCACAGTGAGGAAGAAGCATTACTTTTCTTGTTTCAACTCAGGAAGGCATTTGTTCTACAATCTTTTCTCAAGAAATGAAACCTCATAATGAAACTTGTTATTTTATTCTATTCTATCACTGGCACGTGGCTGAAGTTACAGAAATATGACAGCCAAGTAGCACAAGGGTGAGAAGGTTTATAGACTCCCTCTCTGGCCTTCTCCTTTGACCACTTTGTGTTCCCACCTCCTCCTTCTATTCCCATTATGCCCTTCTCCCTGTTTATGCTCTGAGCCTTGCTAATGCTCAAAGTGAGGCCTAGCTGAGGCTCCATGAACACTTAAGGCACATTTGGTACCTTCACTTGGTTACTCTGATATTCAAATGCTCATCTAAGCTAGATTCTGTCTGTGCTTCATGTTCTCAGTTCACAACATTGCTGAGTAACCCCCTTTATTTCACAGTCTGTATTCTAGTGTTGCACACTGTGTACCCCTCCGCAGCTAAAAAAGCCCCATTCACAAACCAAAGGCACCTGATAAACAACAGTGGTGACTCTGAACATCTCTTTTCCTCCATCTGGCATGTTAAGTTCAGAATAGGTGAGTCTAGCAGCACCCAAGGAAGTGGACTACTCAGCCCACCTTAAGATACCACTGGCATTGTGCTTCAGGGATGAGACTTGATAGTGCAGATGCTTCTAGCAGGTTTTCAGTGTTGACAGATATGCAGCAAAGATGCTGCTTTCAGTGAGTTCACTCAAGTACAATGTCAGTGGACAAAGCTATATGGAAAGTCCAAAACATATGTAAAAGCCCAGAGGAGAAAGAAGCAGGCTCAGCATTCTAGGGGGCTATTTATGACCCATAGAGCGGATCAGTGTCACTACAGGAGGAAAAACACTGAAACTCAGCCTAACAACTAGTGCTGCCCCACAATGGAGCAAGCAGTCTCAATGGGGAGTGCCAGGTCAAAGGGGATTTTCAGAGATGCTGACTCCCTATTCCCTACTATGGGAAAGAGCAGGGGTCAGGGTTTGGACAGAGGGAAGCAAGAGTCCCTCCTGACTCCAAGATCCAGCAGACTATCAGGAGAAAGCTGAGAAGCCGGAGGCCTCTGTGTGGCATAAGGTATGTAGAACCGCTTCCTCCAGACTCTCAGATGCCCCTGCAGCCTCCCAGCTCAGCTTCCCAGCTCAGTGGCATAGGATCACAGGGATGGGGAAGTGGGAGTCACCATGGCCATGACAGAGTACCATTGAGGCTTTTCAAAACAGCGTATTGTTCATTCAAATGAGCATCAGAAGTTTTCAAAAAGGAAAAGCAAACAAAATAACCAAAACAATAGGGAAAAAGAAAAAAACAACCAAGGTTACAAGTGAAATGTAGGCCTTTCTCTTCTTGAAGGTATGTTTGTTTTGTTGTTGCTGTTCTTTTAAGGACGAATCCAGATATTGAAATGAGGTCTTATTTATTTGGCAAGCTGGTAAATTAGATTTCTTTGTTTTTGAGATACAGTCTCACTTTGTAGCCTGGGGTGACTTCAAACTTACAATCTAAGCCCTGCATCTACCTCTCAAGTGTTCAGACTACAAGTATGACCCACCAACCACACCTGGCCAGAAAGAGATATTGTAACTTATTCTTAGTTTTACTTAAAAAAAATTCCTTGTAGTTCTAAGTAGAGCCTTCTACATGCTAAGCAAGTACTGAGCACAGTGGCTCATGCCTGTAATGCCAGCACTCAGGAGGCTGAAGCAGGAAGACTGTTGAAAATTTGAGCCAACTACCTGCTCTGGACATAAATCTCCTCTTCCCTGCTCTCTCCTTTGGGCCTGTGACTTATTTCTCTATACTGTTCTTCTTTAAGACTACCAACCAAGGGACCGGAGAACTGGCTCAGTGGTTAAGAGCACTGGCTGCTCTTGCAGAGGACCCAGGTTCGATTCCCAGCACCTACATGGTGGCTAACAACTGTCTGTAACTCCAGTTCCATGGAATCCCTCACCCTCTTCTGACCTCCATGGGCACTGCACAGCACGGGTGCGTTTACACATATGTAGGCAGTACACTCATATACATAAAATAAAAATAATATTTTTAAAAAAGATTAATAACCAAAACTAAACTGAGAGGGGCTGAACCACTCATCTTGAACATAAGACTGGAACAATCAAAAGAGGAATTATCATCTACAGAAGGAGAGGATTTAGGGAATGAGAATATTTTATGCAGACATTGTCAGGAGGGCCTCTAGGACCTACGCGATGACATGAGACAATACCTAAAGCACTTTCCAGAAGCAGTAACAAGGAGCAAGCAGAGCAAACAGGCTGCAACCATGCTTATGTGCTGTGTGCTTTGTCCACTCAGGGAGGGGAGCTGTGTACATGCCTACGTGATAGTGGTTCGTCTGTTCCTAGGATGGTGGTATTTTCTTTTCTTTCTTTCTTCCTTTTTTTTGGACACAGGGGGTCTCCCTGTAGCCCAGCAGGCCTGGAACTTGCTATGTAGACCAGGCTGGCCTCGAACTCACAGAGATCTTCCTGCCTCTGCCTCCCCGTGCTGAGACTAAAGGCGTAAAGGCATTTGCCACTATGCACGGCAAGGATGGTATATTTTCAACAAAATGAATGGCAGAAGGATCTTCCTCCAATTACACAGTTAAATGCTTAGTGTTAGAATGTTTGCTGACTCTAAGTGCCTGGAACAGATGATCTTTCAGGTTCCTTCCCTTTCTGAGATCCAAAGATGCAAGGGTTCTAGTTCCAGCTGTAATTAAACATGGACTGAGCACCAGTTTATATCCTCTATATCCTGAAGTCTTCTTTGAACTTTTTCTATTCTCCACTATCCACACAGGTTTGATACCATGCTCTGATTTCAGAGGTACTAAATACTCTTGGTTAGTTGGGACAGTAAGAAAGGGGAACCCACTCAGCCAGGGAAAGACATCCCAGGAACCCACCATGCCGGCAGATACAGGGGTCAGCATGACAGTTACAGCACCTGTAATCTTGGTTTGTGTGGCTTCATCTCCTTGACTACCCTTTTTCAGCCAGCTGCCAGTGCATTACCAGATTCCAACTGGGTCAAACACTTACCTAAGAGTGCAGCTGCCTGGCTCCGTCCCCCAAAACTGCGGCTAAAGGAGCTGTGTCTGCTTGCATATGAGGCTGGCCGGCTGGGCAGCCAGGGCAGGAGAAAGGCAGGAATCTCAGAGTGTAAGAGCTCTTCTGCCACAAAGGCCACCTCAAACCACTTGCGCTGGAAGCTGGCAAAGTCATCTACCCCTGCTATGTGCCAGGTGGCAGTGGGCTGCTGCATGGCCACTGGAAAAGAAGGATGTGAAGGGCCCTCATCACAAATGTGTATTTCCTTACTGATACATGCTACAGTACAAACTGACCCTCAAAACACTATGCTAAGTAGAAGGAGCCAGACATAAAAGGCCACGTATTATAATACTTCACATATATTAAATCTGTAGAAACAAAAATCCTATTAGTGTGCACAGGGAATGGGAAGGACAGGAGCTGGAGAGTGACAGGTGACAGGGCTACAGTTTCCTTTTGCAGTGATGGAAATGGTCTGGAATGAGACTGAGGTGGTGGGTGCACAATACTGTGAATGTACTAAATGTTCCTTAAAATCATCAATTTTATTCAATTAAAAATTATCCTGTTTCATATTTTCAGAATTTATAGTAGTAACTGTATATTTTTTCTTTTTTCAATTGGAAGATAAAAATAGGTGCTTCCTGATCAAACTTAGAATAGTATCAAAATTCCAGGACTGGAGAGATGGCTCAGCAGTTAAGAGCATGGATTGCTTGCTCTTGCAGAAGACTCTAGTTCAATTCCCAGCACCCATGTCAGTGACTCTAGCTAGCTCTAGGGGATTTGACACCTTTGGTCTCTGAGGGCACCTGTACTCAAGTGCATATACCCTCTTCCCACACATACATAATCAGAAATAAAATCAAATCTTTAAAAATAAAGAGCTGGGTGTGGTGGTACACGCCTTTAGTCCCAGCACTCGGGAGGCAGAGGCAAGCAGATCTTTCCAACCTGGTCTACATAGTGAGTTCCAGGCCAGCTGGGACTATAGGGAGACCCTGTCTCAAAAAGACCAAAATAAATAAATAATAAATAAACAAACAAACAAACAAATAAATAAATAAATGAAAAGAAAAGAAATTCCCACACAGATCCACTTCTGCCATGTTCTTGGACAAGGGAACACAGTGAGAGGCACCAGCTACACCCTCACATGTATCAGTCCTTAGACCCAGAGATAGAAAAGCCATTTACCACAGGATGGGAGTCACTTCCAGGCAAAGTCCTCAAGCATGTGCAATTCATGTCCTGGAGAGGCTGGTCTTCCAGAGCTATGCAGGCAAGCATAACTAAATCATGCTAGAAATTGTTCCTCTCTGGGTGTGGAAAGATTGTAAGAGCCAGGGAGGAGGTGCATGACCATACAAAAATAGTCCTAAAGGTTCCTGGGACTCTTCTCATATGAACCTACACAAGACCCATGCAAACTCAAGCAGACAAAAACCTAGCACAGAACTGTGGAAATGAACAGCAGGCTCTAATTTTAGACAAAGAATTATTGGCAGCTGATTACTGCTGGGTGAGAATGAGCTGACCTTCTTAAAAGGAGGGTCTCTAGATAGACTGACTGGATCCCAGTGGACGAACTTGCACTGAGGGACATCTGGGGACACTAACTTTACATGATAGGTCTTAACACTAATGACCAGAAGATATGAATTCCAGTGGGGGGGCTATGGGAGGGTGCCAAAGGGGAAGGGGGTATAAAGATGATTTTCTGTATGAAATAGAAAAAAGCTCAATTAAAAAAAAATGTTTTTTTTTTTTTTTTTTGGTCTTTTTAAGACAAGGTCTCCCTGTAGCCCCAGCTGTCCTGGAACTCACTATGTAGACCAGGCTGGCCTCGAAATCACAAAGATCCGACTGCCTCTGACTCCCAAGTGCTGGGATTAAAGGCGTGTGCCACCATGCCCAGCAATAAAAAAATTTTTAAAAAAAGAAAGAAATTGTTCCCCTTTGGAGGCGGGCTCATATGCATAAGGCCTTAGGTTTGATTCCTAAATACACAATGAACAAGCAGACAAACATAACCAGCCTTCTGGACTCATGAGCTGTAGATACACATTCAATCAAATATACATAGTAAGTAGTTTTGGGGAGGAGGAGGAGTATCTATAGTGAATAATACCAAAGTTTTTGTTATCATTTCCTGAACAATATAGTATAACACAGAAATTACACCAGTTATCATAAATAACCTGGGGGTGATTTAAAGAATACAAGAGGAAGGTGCTGGAGAGATGGCTTAGTGGTAAAGAGCACTTGCTGCTCTTCCACAGGACCCGAGTTCCATTTCCAGTTCCCACATTAAGTCACATTAAGTGACTCAAAACTCTAGCTCCAAGGGTCTGACACCCTCTTCTGGCATACATACATACACACACACACACACACACACACACACACACCATTTCTTTAAAAAAGAGTGTGCACAGGTTATATGTTAATGACATGTCATGTTATGTATAGGCCTTGAGCATCTGTATCTGTGATTTTTAATTTTTTTTGTATTCCAGAAAAGATGGGTTCCTTGAGCTAACATCCCTCTAGCACAAAGGAATGACTATATTTAAAAAGTATCTTGGAAAACATGCTGGGACCTGCTAGTCTTCCTAGAGGAATATGTGGAGCCTGGGAACCCAGCAAGTAAAAAGTACTATAAATCACATATTGGTGCCCATCATACTGTGATCAGAATTAACTGTATTGGGTGCTAGTAGGGCATCATATTTAAAGACAGTTACCAAAATATCACCCATGGAAAATTCTCAACCAGGTCCCTTAGCCTCTTCTAGGTTTATTTTCCACCAATACTGTCCTCAATAAGAACATATCGTTGTTGGGTGTGGTAGCACATACCTTTAATCCCAGCACTTGGGAGGCAGAGATAGGTGGATCTCTGTGAGTTCTAGGCCAACCTGGTCAACAGAGTGAATTCTACACCAGTTGGGGCTGCAAGGAGACCCTGTCTCAAAGATACCCCTCCCTCCCAAAAGAACAGTAGTTAAGGCTCAGAGTTAAGACCCAGGTTCGACTCCCAGAATGCACATGGTGGCTAACAGCCATCTGTAACTCTACTTCCAAGGGACCTGATGCCCTCTTCTGACCTCCATGGACACTGCACAACATGGGTTCACTTACATGCATGCTTTTATACATAAAATATAATAATAAACCACTGTTAGGACTTGAGGACCCCAGTTGGGTTCTGAGCAACCACGTTGGGTGGCTCACAACTACCTGTAACTCCAGCTCCAGGGGATCCAGTGTCTCTGGTCTCCACATGCACCTGCATTCACGCGTGCGCCACACACACACACACACAGAGTCAACCAAAACTAAATAAATGAATCTTAAAAGAAAACATTGTCATTCTGTTAAGGCTTAAATTGAGAACAAATGCTGAAGGACAGATGGGTCAACATAGTACAAAGCCACACATACAGCTCAAGAAGCACTGTAAGGAGAAGTACCCGCCCCAGTGGCAACTGCATGTGCCTTGGCTCTGACCTCGATCGGGCTCTTTATCCATTACTATCTTGTAGAAATAGAAGCCATAGATGAAGGTCCGCCAGGCTTCGCCAGATGCATGTGTGATGAGCTGCTCTTCCAGCATTTTCTAGGAGAAACAATGAAAACCTGAAATTTCTATACAGTGACATCTCAGAAAGGCAGCCTTCAGCTGAGCACAGAAGTCAAGGTAGTGGCAGAAGTACTGAGACCATAGCCACGAACTACCCACTACACATAAAGAGTGTGCGATGCTAAAACTGCCTAAAGTTATATTATAAATGTGTGTATCATTTCATCAAACATACACATACAGAGAAAATCCAAGTAGACAACCATCCAACTTCAACAAATTTAACATTTTGCTATCCAGTACATTCTTTACTTGAGGGGAATATATTCCAAGATCCCTAAAGGAAAGCTAGGTGTGGTGGTACATGCCTGTAATCCCAGCAATAGAGGAGGCTGATGTATAAGAATCAGGAATCCAAGGGCATCCTAGACTACATAGAAAGTTTGAGGACAGTCTTAGCTACACAAAACCTTGTCTCAGTCCTACTCAGTGGCACACGCCTTTAATCCCACCACTAGGGAAGTGGAAGTAGTGGATCTTTGTGAACTCAAGGCCAACCTGGCCTACATAGAGAGTTCCAGGCCCTGTCTCAAAGAGATGAAGCCCCCCTGACAACCCCCCCAAAACCCAAACCTGTTGTCTCCCTAGGGAGGAAAGTGAAGCGTGTGGGCTAAATAGTATCAAACTCTGTATACAGTCAGTATTTTTTAATTCAATCATCCATAGATAAAAATATTTGGAAAGATGTTCCATTTGTCCAAAATCCCAATGCAAAATCAAAAGAAACATGAAAAAATGAGGCAACATGAATCCTTCAAAAATTAAGTCCTTCACTAATGGCCTTCAATGAAAATAAATTAGATAAAAATCCCTGATAGCCGGGCATGGTGGCGCACGCCTTTAATCCCAGCACTCCGGAGGCAGAGGCAGGCAATCTCTGTGAGTTCAAGGCCAGCATGGTCTACGTAGTGAATTCCAGGACAGCTGGGGCTACAGGGAGACCCTGTCTCAAAAAGACCAAAAAAAAAAAAAAATCCCAGATAAAGAACTCAAAAAAGGGGCTGGAGAGATGGCTCAGTGGTTAAGAACACTGGTTGTTCTTACAGAAGACCCATGTTTGAATCCCAGCACCAACATGGCAGCTAACAACTGTCCATAACTCCAGTTCCAGGGGATCTGACAGCCTCTTCTGTCCTCCGTGGGCATTGCACAACACGGGTGCATTTATGTACATGCACGCAATACACTCATACACATAAAATAAAAATAATAAAATACTAAAAAAAAAGAACTCAAAAGAATGATTATATATATATATGTCAGTCAGCTACGTGGCAACTTCTTTACATACACACACACACATATATATACATATATATGTATATATATATGTTAAATGAAATCAAAGAAGACTCTTGAAGGAAATCCAAGAGAACATAAACCATTAGCTGAATAAAATAAGAAGTCAATGTAGGATATGAAAATGGAATTCAGTAAAGAGATAAAATAATGAAAAACTCAATCTGAAATACTGGAACTACAAGGTTCCATATAAGTCAAATAAAAAGCTCAGTGGAAAGACTTGCTAACAGAACAGGTAAGGGAAGGACAGAATACCAGGGCTTGAAGACAAAGGTAGATAAAATGGAACACTCAGACAACAAGGGAAAATTATAAATTAAAACACATAAATAAATAAGTAAATAAATTATGGTGGAAAATTTCTTACACTTATAGAAAGAGATACCCATTCTAGTTCAGGAAGCATTCTGAACACAAAACAAGGACCAGAAAAGAACCTCCACAAGCCATATTATAGTTAAAACAATAAATACACAGAACAAAAAACGTATACAGAAAGATGTAAGAGAAACAGCAAGCCTATCAGAATAACAGCAAATTTTCTTTCAAAGAAAACTTTAAAATTCAGGAGTGCTTGGAATAATTTATTTCAGGTTCTGAAAGACAACAGCTGCCAACCCACATTACTATATTTAGCAAAAGTATGTGTCATAATTGAAAGAGAAAGGAAGTTTTCCACGTAAAAAACAAACTAAAGGAATTCACGACCACTAAGCTAGCTCTACAGAAGATACTTGAAGGACTCCTTGAGACTGGAGAGAGAGACAAACACATTTCGTGAGGCCACAAGAAAGAATAAAGTATGCTACAACAGCAACTAAGCAAAAGGGAAATTAGAAACATCAAACACTACAAAATCAGCAAAATGACAGGAATTATCACCCACCTTTCAAATATTAGCCCTGAATTCCCCAAACAAAACACACAGACTAGCAGATCGAATTAAAAAACAAGACCCATTTATTTGTTGTCCTAAGAAATGCACCTCACCATCAAAGACATATACCACCTTAGGATAAAAAGACATAGAAAAGTATTCCAAGTAAATGGAACTAGGAAGCTAGCAGGTGTCACTGTTCTAACATCTGAGAAAAGAGAAAATCAAAGTTAGTCACAAGAGACAAAGAAGATCACTTCTTACTGATTAAGAAAACATTAAGAGTATATCACAATTCAAAAATACATAGTGGGCATTGGTTTCCTAAAACAAACACTACTAGATATAAAAACACAGATTAACCCCAACAGAATAGTAGTGGGTAGCCTCAATACTTTTACCAACAATCATCTTAAATAGAGAAACATCTGCATTAAATGATATCATTTAACTGGGGGCAGTAGAGGAGGAATATGTTCCAAGATCCCTAAGTGCCAAGAGGCTATGGACCTAAGAGAAATCTGCAGAAGAGTCCATCAAGACACTGCACTGCAGAATACATTTTTCTCAGCAATCCCAGGAACTTTCTAAAAAAATAATTCATATAATAGGACACAAAGCAAGCCAACAAATGCAGGAACATTAAAACTGCCTATATTCTGTATGACCACAATGTAAAAAAAGTTAGAAATCAATAGCAAGAGACTATAAAAGATACATAAACTTATGGAGATTGAACAACACTCTATGATGAATAGATTATTGAGAATCAAGAACTTCTGGAAATTCTCTTTCAGGTTCTTTCTTTTCCTTTACCTCCCTGTTTCCTTTCCATTATCCTGGTTCCTGTAGTTATGTCTGGATACATACTCACTTGTCAGGGTTTGGTTCCAGGATACACATATGAGGGAGAACATATGTCGATATTTTTTGTGAGTCTGTGTTACTTCACTTAGTATAACAGTTTCTAGTTCCATCCATTTACCTGCAAATTTCATGATTTCATCTTTCTTTACT